AGTTCACCTTCTTCTAATGGCAATACAAATTAGCATAACACCTGATAAACTACAACATGTCCGAGATGAGGACTAAGTCGTGGATATCAAGAGAAGAAAACAAATCCACAAGAAGTTTTATTCTCTTAACATGCACAACAAAAGAATCACGGACATTATCAGACACATACATCAATTATTTTGCTAATACGTCATTCAAGAAACCAGTCCCCTCTCTCTCTCAGCGCACAACTAAACTGAAGAAATATAAACAGGAATCTCATCCGCAAGCTTTGATACCACAAAAGTTATCATGTTTTAATCCAAAAGCCAAGCTATGACAAGCGCTACACATTTATAGAGATGGTCTTATAAACACATAAAGCTAGCTAACTTAATCATCTTTTAATTACTAGATAAAATTATCTTTCCATAACCAAATATAATAACAATAAATCCAAAATAATTTCATCATTAATTATATTAACAAGATAATTAAGTCAAATCCTACGTTTCGTAAACTGCCATAAAATTATATCCTTGTCTCTTAATATTCTAGTTTAAAATTCAAAATCAATGAGTCACAGTCTCCAAAAGTTCTATTGTCCAAAATAGCTCAAAATATACTAAGAAACTAAAATCAGGAAATTATGTCTCTCAATCCCAATGCAGCCCTCGACCATGCTTACTCCTGAGTACTTGAAATGATGTAAAATTTGAAAACATAAGTTTAAATAGCTCAGTAAAAGTATACTCATCTAATACGATCAAGCACATTTTTCTTTTTCTTTTTTAAAAAGGATAATAGCATTAAAAAAAAAAAAAAAACAAACATGTTACAATCCATAATACAAAACATTAGTTATATGTTTTTATGACTGCATTACACTTCATATATAACATAACACTCCATGATAAATAAATTTTGGAACTATCATTAATACCCTCAATGTACTCCTGAGGAATAGGAATCAAGAATATGAAAATCAACTAACTCAAAATATATCCAATTAAATAAACAACACTCTTGATATACAATATTATACATCCAAAATGCTTGATCAACATTCATCTCATTTCATTGTAAAATATTTTTTGTTTCAAAACATATGAAGCAAATCAGATTATTAAAAACAATGGGTGAAATAAACTTCTAATAAAACAAACCTTTCTAAAAGGATGTGATGGATTCTAAGCCAAAAAAAAAAAAAAATGTAATTGATGTTTTCTTTTCATGTGGAATGGAAGGTGATTTTCTTATTTGTTAAGCTTTTTTTTTTTTTACTTTATTATTATTTTTCTCTTGAAAACAAATACTTATTGTAGTGCTTCAAAAAAAAAAAAAAAATGTAATTGATGTTTTCTTTTCATGTGGAATGGAAGGTGATTTTCTTATTTGTTAAGCTATTTTTTTTTACTTTATTATTATTTTTCTCTTGAAAACAAATACTTATTGTAGTGCTTCAATCTCATATAAAAAGAGAGTATGATTGTGACTGATATATAATTGTGAAAACTTATCACTATTAATAATTTGAGTTTAAACTTTTAAGAACCTATAAATTTTGCTTTCAAAGAGTTGTTAATCTAATGATAGGTTTCAGGTTGAATTATTTTAATTTAGAGCATGATTGTTAGTCTATAAATGTAGAGACTAATCATTATTAACAACTTAAGTTTAAATTTTTAAGAATTCATGGATTTTGACCCAAAGAGTTATTAGAGTCAAATCATTTTAGTTAGATATTCACTTGAAGAGTTGTTAGGCTCAAATATTGACTCAAAAAGTTATTAGGCTCAAATTATTTTAGTTAGGTATCTAGCAGTTCCTCATTGCAGGTGTGAGACCATGTCAAGAGACTTTAACATGAGTCATCGGGGGAGTCCCCTTGGTCTATCAAGGGCTGGAGTGGATGGTAGTAGCATAGTTGGACTTTGGCCTTTGGAATCCATCGTTGCAAGGGGTGGATCTTTCGACTGTGGGTTAGCTTGGATTGGGTCAAGCATTTTATGTAAAGGAAATTGTAGTGCTCCAATCTCACATTAAAAGAAGATTATGATTGTGAGTATAATAGTGATAAGAAAGCCGAAAAAGAGGGACGAATTCACGAGACGAATATGAGGTGGTAGGTGTCTTACCTCCTTTCCACTTCTCCTCATGTTTTTGCAATCTTTTTCTTGTCTTGGGTTCATCCAAATCCAAATTCTTCTTCCAAATCTTCATCCTTTATCGTTATTTCTCTCATCCCTTGCAAAGAATAACTATAAATTTAGAATTTCTACCAATTGGGGATTTATTTTACTAAACACTTAGGGCTTAGTCTTTCTTGTTCTTTTTTTTTTTTCTTTTTTGAAATTTTAAAACCATGGCTATGGGATTTTGATTGCTAGGATAGGGTTGAGCCTGGTTCTTGAGTTCAACGAAGTTCACTGGAGGAGGAGCTTGACAAAAAATGGGGAGATGAGAGAGAAAGATAGGAGATTTGCAAAGAAAAAAAAAAGGAGGTAGAAGATAAATCGAAAAACATAACTTAATTTAAATTTTTTAAAATTAATATATTAACAACGTAACTTACCACATCATTGGTTCTAAAAATACGTCCCCTTTATTTGTTTTATGTATCATTGTCCTTGTGAGTAATATGTAACAATTTGTATTTAAATTTTAAGTACTTGTGGATTTTAATTTGAAAAATTATTAAACTAATGATGGATTTCAATCCAAATCATTTTAATTTAGATATCATAGCATTGTGAGACTATACTAGGAGATGATCTTAATCCGGGTTATAATGATATAGTTGGGCTTTGGCCTTCAAAATCTCATGTCATAAGGAATGGATCTTATAATTGTGGGATGATTTGGACAACTTGAATTCAAGTTGTTAGTTCAAAAACGAAACTTTGGTCTGAGTTTAAATTTTTCTGAAATATTAAATTTAAATTTTTTCTCAAACAAAAATTTAAATCTATCATACAAGAATTTGCTCTAAATCGAATTTAATTTTAGCCTCATCGGAAAAGCCCAATGAAATTGACCAAGACCCACTTTGTACGGGCAAATGTTTTGACAGCACGGGAGACCGCTACAACTTTCTTTCGCCTCTCCTAATTCTCGCCGGAATCGGACTCTCACAGGACAGCATATAATTTCAGTCTTCTCTATCGGCCGCCAAAATCGAGAACGGAACCCAGAAAGAAAATCCCAGACCAACTTTGTGCTGATATTCAGAAGAAAAAAATCTGAAAAAGGAGGAGGAAGACAAAAGGATGAAAGGAGGAGGAAGAGCGGGAAAGCAGGGGAATTACACGAACCCATGCTTGACGTTGCACCAGCCATGGGCTTCACTTTTAGTTCATGGGATCAAGCGCATAGAAGGCAGGTCTTGGCCTGCTCCTATCAGAGGTAGGTGCCATCATCGATGCCTATCCTCTAGGTTTTATTCGAAGAATCAACCATCCACTTCCTTTTTTCATGTCACAGTTTCCTCCAAATTATGTTTTTGGAAGGTTTTGGCTTGTGGGTTGTTTGGTTTTTGAGAAAATGTAAGAAAACAGATTACCATTCGTAGATGAGAAAACTTCATCTGGTTCATTGTGGGACCCATCTTAGATTGCATGATGCCTTGCTCTAAGATTTTGGGTGCTGACAAGCTCACACTGTCATAGTTACACACACTAATATTGGGAGTGTTTAGGCAAAATTAGTTTGACTTGCTATATGCTACAGATGTGAATTATATATTTGGAAGGATGAACCAGAGAAGAGATGCTAACACTGTTTAGTGTGGGAGAAGGGCATCTTAATAGAGTAATTGAGGTCAAACTTGATTTTGGAGTCACAATGTAAGAATGGTTAACAAAGTTTAAGGGGTTCGATTTGGTTTTTATGGTTGGTGTGAAATGCATGATCGCATATGGAGGAAAAACATTATAATGTTTAGGCTAATTGTAGATGAATTTTGTGCTAGTCTGATATTGTAGTTGAAGTAGATTGTCGAAATATTTTTTCTTTCTCACTTAGGATGTGTCATTCCTGATTGAATGGTTTGTATAACATGGAGTATTTTCCAATTTTTCTTGATAGTGATGTTTATTAGTCATGGTTGAACTCAATAACAAGGTCCTAACTCCAGAGGCACTTGGTCTTATAAGTTTTGCAAAATTTGGAGGAGATATTCAATTGCTGTTCTGGGTTTTAGATTCTCAGTCCTTTTTTTCTTTGTCCACGCCATCCTTGTCTTCCTAAAATCTGCTTGTTTAGGGACTATTAATGCATAACTTTGATGAAAAGGCTCATTTGTTTCAATATGATTGGTTAATACTCAAATTGAGTATTTGCATATTTGTAATTGGGAAGTTGCAATGGTTGTTATCTGTATCTCATTGGTGGATGTTATTAACAACATCACTATCATATATTTTTTTGCCATCATTGGTGGAAGTTATTAATAACATCACTATCATGCATTTTTTTGCCATCATTGGTGGATGTTATTAATAACATCTCTTGTTGAAATAGTTGTTCTTAATTAGGTAATCTTTTTGTAGGCCGCCTTTGGATTCATGCGGCCAGCAAAGTACCAGATGAAGCTACAATCAAAGCAATGGAAGACTTTTACCGAGAAATTTATGCTGTGAATGGAATTACTGACCTTAAGTTTCCTGAACATTACCCTGTTTCAAGACTCCTAGGTATTTAAAGTCAGAACTTTCCATAGCACATGCTTCACAATTGTCTGGTTGATTTACTTGTTAGTTTTTCATTTATGGTATTTTGTGAACTTGTTTCTTGCACATTGAAAAGAAATTTGTGGTCAAGACTTCAAACACAGAAATGATGGCACTGAATATAGCTAATGCTTTTGGTTTAAATGGATATGACTTATATTTCATTGTTTGTTGGTGTCAACAATTTGACTGATCTTGATGTATTCTTGTCTTCAACAGGCTGCGTTGAGGTAGTTGGCTGTCTGAGATGTGAAGAACTAGCTCAGTGGGAGGTGTTGCCTGAAGGGGTGGGTAATGCAGCTTTTATGAATTGGTTTTCCTTTTAACATAGTGATGTATTGTATGACATCAGCAACCAGGCTCATTTTTTTCTCACTGTTCATCGGGCTGCAGGTTAGGCTAGAAGGACAAACTGATTTTTGCTGGCTCTGTGAACAACCACAGGTACATGCTTTCAAAGAATCACATTGAACAGAAATTGGTTTTTATAACTACTATAAGTTTCCTTTCATTCTTGATTATATTGATTGGGCATTTCTTTTCTACATGATACAGAAATTGTTGATTCCATTTGAGATGAGAGGGTTTCAAGGTGTTTATAATCTAGAGAAGAAGGTACTTGTGTGCTTCAATTATGCCTCTTTTCAATTTATTCTTAGCGCCACTTATTGATGCATCTTTTCCAGATATATGAGGCTGCTGTCAGAGGCCTTGTCCCAGTGGAAAGTCCAGCACCTGTAAAATTCCCACTTCCAGATCCAGGAGATCCTTTTTCCTTGAATCCAGGATCTCTTTCTCTGCACTTTTCTGATTCTAAAGGATCTGAAATTGAGGAATCATCCAGTCTTAGTATGGCAATTGCCGGGGCACGAGCAGCTGCTACACAGTTCTCAAGGAAGAGCCAAAATTTCCAGTCAAATACCATTCAAAATAGTAGACCTGTGTTGAGGAGCCAAATGAGGAGTAAATCTGCTGAAGAAAATATAATTACTGAGGCTAACTTAACTGAAGAACCAGTGGAGGAGAATTTAGCAGCCCCTACTGTAGAGCAAAGCAAATTTATTAACCATGAGGGAAGCAGTAGTCAACGGCATCAGCCTCATGCAGATTTAAAACAGCATGCTGGTGCTCCTTCTAAGGTATGCAGTTAATTTTATTTAGTACCATTTCAATCTCTTCTTAGAATGGCAAGGAAGTACGCCATTTGAATCGAGTTAATCTTACTTCAATTTCAAAATCTGCTATTCTGCTGAAAGGAAGTGGATTAATTAGAACTTCTTAATCTAACCTGTCGAATTTCTGTACTTCTCTAGGTATTTCTAACGGCTAAGTATGATTTCTCCATCTTTTGACGTGTAGATTTTTGCTGCTGCTTTACGAGGGCTGAAGCCATCATGAATTTCTACTGATTTTAAAGGTAAGGAACTCTGTGTATAAAAGTCAGATTGTAGGAGGCACCTGGCTTTCAAATTTGCCTGTGGGAATTCAAGTGCTGCTGTTTTAGCAGATACAGAAAGTTGGATCTCCTTGTATTTTACTTGACATCTGTACGCCTTGTTTATTTAGAATTGACATGGTATTATCTTATTTATGGATGGAGGCAGTATTACTATTTTTTTTCGTATTAATCTCTCGGTATCCTAAAATCACTTTAAGGCTCAACTAATTTGGAATCGAGTCAGCTTAAATCCCATTAGGGGGAAAGCTCTTCCAATGTCTGTGTATCTTCATGTACAAGACTCGAACTTAAGATCTTTGCTTAAAGGGAACTGAGTTCTTTTTAGTCGGATTAATACGTTGTTAGTTGGAGGTAGTATTACCATTACAAGTTGCAGGTGTTCCCCTAATGGTGTTTAGATATCATTATCCTTTTATTATTGTTATTGTTATTATTAGTATTCTTATTATTTATTTATTTATTTATCATACGAGATTAAGGTTGATATTGTGGGATTGGATATTTGATTAAATGTCAATTTTAAGTCCCTCTACTTCAAATTTTGAACACTTTTGATCCCTAAACTATTTAAAACTATTTTAAGCACATTGTTTGTCTCTAAACTTTGAAAATGTATCTGTTTAGTCCTTCCATTAATTAAATATAATGTGGTACATTAAATAAATTCCCATGGCATTTTCTTTAATTTTTTAGATGGCATCCTATCGACATAACACACAACTAGCATAGTGGACAAAACAATGTCAAGTGGGATGATTTTTAAAAAATTAACAGTGGGTCTTATTTAAAATTATTATATTTATTGTCTTTTGATTCTTTTTATTTTTAATTTGAAATTATTGGTGGGTTCCACATCATCTCTTCTTCTTCCTCTATCTCTGAATTATTTTTTCTCCTCCTCCCTTTCTTTCTCCATTCTCTTCTCAAGCTATTGGACCCATTCATCTTCTTCAATTTCTCTCTTCTCTCTTCTCTCTTCCTCCTCAAACCAATCCTTTCTTTCATCTTCTTTAGCTTCGTTTGGGTTTGAACTTTGAACCAAGAGTTGGGTTTGTCACGGAGCCCAAATCTGGGTTCCTTAGAACCTGCTACTAGGTTCAATGAAACCATACGCTTGGATTTGGTCAAACCAAACATGCACTAATTTATTTAATTAATATTTATAATTCGATAGTCAAAAAACTATCAATTATTTTCATATAATTTATAGAATATAATATTGTAATTTAAAAATATTTTAATTATTAACTATAAATCATTTTTAAGTTGGGTCAAAGTTAATAGTGAAACATTTGAGTTAATGAATTTTATTGTGACATCATGTTCAACGTCAACAATATTGAGTATGTGGAATCTAATTGTTAGTCTAGCTAACTATTTTGTATTGGTTGTGATTTTCACATCATTAGAAGATAAAAAAACAAAAATTCAATTGGCCTGATTTAACAAGTTTAATTGATGGAAAAATCAAAGTGCATTTTTAGAGTTGAATAACAAAAAAATGTGCTTAAAGTAGTTCAGGGGTCAAAATATTTAAAATTCAAAAATTGAGGGACTAAAATAGTTAGCATTTAACCTAGATTTTTGACATCGTAATATAGTCTTCTAAAATTAGTACTAAATAGAAAATTAATATAGATGCACAATCTATACCATAGTAAAAGATTAGATCTCACTTCAATTGATTATACTCATATAATTGATAGAATATAATATTGTAATTTGAAAATATTTTAATTATTAACTATAAATCATTTTTAAGTTGGGTCAAAGTTAATAGTGAAACATTTTAGTTAATGAATTTTATTGTCACATCATGTTCAACGTCAACAACATTGAGTATGTGGAATTTAATTTTTAGTCTAGCTAACTATTTTGTATTAGTTGTGATTTTCACATCACTAAAAGATAAAAAAAAAAAAAAATTACAGTTGAACTGATTTAACAAGTTTAATTGATGGAACAATCAAAGTGCATTTTTAGAATTGAGTGACAAGAAAA